AATTACGCAAAAATAGAAACAGAAAGACTAAACTACATAAAAAACAATCAAGCCAAATTGCGCGCAGATAATTATATTCATTCAAAAGATGCAATTGGACGGCAAGATACTGAAGCAAATCAGCTGGGACAAATGGTAGGACTTTCATCATCATTTTTACTGGTGGACCAAGATACATGCACGAAAAAACGCAATACGCCATGACCTATGTTAGACATTACGGTCGTCCCGACTTTTTTATTACTTTTTCATGTAACCCACGCTGGAGTGACATAATCGATACGATATTATTTCGCGTGTCTTTCGATCAAAGGTAAAAAAGATCATGGATTTGTTGATAAAAGGGAAAATATTCGGTGAAGTGAGATGCTATATGTACGTTTTATGGCTTCAACATCGCATCACTCCGGATCAATTGACAATATTATTTGTGCTGGAATACCTAACCCCGATCGTGATCCTGAGCTTTACGAAATTGTTAAAAGTAATATGATATATGGCCCCTGTGGTAGTTTGAACCGAAATTCTCCATGCTGCAAACGTTTTTCTAAGGCTCTTATTAATCAAACCCAAATCGGTGATGATGGTGATCCGCAGTACAGGAGACGTTCTCTGGATGACCGTGGATTCTCCGTCAATATCAAGGGTGTTATAATAGATAATCGTTGGGTGGTTCCTTATATTCCAGTGCTATTAAGAACATGTAACGCTCACGTGAACATAGAGTATTGCCATTCAGTGAAGTCAATCAAATACATTTGCAAATATGTTAAAAAAGGGTCAGATCAGGCTATATTTACTTTAAAGAATAGGAAGGATGAAGTTACAACCTACGCAAATGGTCGATATATAAGTTCAGCTGAAGCAGTTTGGCGAATCCCTGAATTTCCAATACATGAGCGTTTTCCTTCTGTAGTGCACCTTGCTGTCCATTTAGAAAATGGACAGGAAATAAATTTTAAAGAGCAGAACTTGTGCGATGAATTGAGTATTCATCCTACAACCACACTCGTCTCCTTTTCCGATCTGTGTAACGTGTATGACTTTGCAAAAACATTGCTATACTCGGAAGTCCCTGCGTATTACGTTTGTAACAAGCGATCGTTTCAGAGAAGGAAGAGAGAAGTGAATGTTGAAGGATGGTCAGGAGTCAGAAAAAAACACGTTCTAGGTAGGGTTTATACTGTTCATCCAAACAATACAGAACTCTACCACCGAAGAGACTATGTGCGTCACTATTTGATATGTGAACAATTGATTGAAACATTTCTCTAAACCAGTGTTTCTGTAGATAATTTTAGCTTTTGATCACTCGATCTTATGTTTATGTTTCCAGAAATAGTAATTTGTGTAAGAAATTCTTAGAGTCATTGTTCACGACTGATGGTTTGATTTTTGTGAGGCTGCTTGCTTCGAGTGATGTTCTCGGATCTGAAGCAGGTTCTTGAGAGCCACCGGTAGCTGTCTAACATTGGCTTTTGAATTGAAGTCAATATGGAAATGATCAAAATGGTACTCATTTGTTTATTTTTGATTTTCATGGAATTATTTTCCAGCAGCTTGACTGCATTACCGGACACATTAAGTGATATGGGATTGACTGAATTAAAAAAAAGTAGCGCATGGATGTGCCTAATGATATGCCTTTCAGAAAGTTTCAATATTCTGAGTAGTTTCGGAGATATCCGAGAAAAACCAAAATTTGAGAATTTCGTTGTTATTTTTTTCTAGCTTTATTTTCGAACGAAATGTAAAACAAATAACACTTTGCCGTGTCCACTTTTTGAGGACTACACGATGACGTAAGCAGAATTATTCTGCCATGTTTCGTCTTTTGGAAAACATCATCAACTTCGCATTTTTGGATGGGCCAAAATTAAAGTATACCCTGTATACAACTTCATTTTTCATTGTGAATACAGCAACGTATCACACATTATGATTTCATAACCATTTCTCGCGCGCTGGAAAAATGACATATTTTGATACATGAAGTAAATTGATTGGTCTTATTTATAATAAATTTCAACTCACCACATGCCGGAATTTTTGCGTTGTTGAATACAAAGATGATAAGTATTTACTTCAAACTAGAGCGAATCCCCGAAAAACCACTCTACTCTTTAGCTGCCCGAGCTTTCGCTAATGTTTACAAGCTTTATCGAGGGCTAAAATATGAAAAAGGACATAATTAGTATAGATATAGAAACTAATAATGGAAAAAACCGTAACATACCTGTGCTATGTGAGGATTATTACTTTATGAATTTGGATTTTGAGAGAAATCTTGAACATGAGAATGACATTTTTGAGATTGAATGATGTGGAATCCATTTTGTTATATCTACCTGAGCTGCATGAACTACCTATCGTATCACAAACATTCGGTGAAAGTGAACTTGGTCAAACAACTGAAAAATAGAGTGCTATTCGGTTGATGAATAATATTTTGTTCAATACACCAGCGTCTCGAGAAACTAATAATTTAACTACCAATGTAACTACTCATTCTATCAATGACAATACGACTTCAATACCCTTCATCAAGGAGATCACTCCCAAACTATCTAGGATATTTCAAAGTTTACCGAACATAAAAATAGCTAAGAAAAGCCAAAAAGGTTATTGGACAAAGCACTCATAGGAAGGTGAGCAAACCGCAGACACGTTTTTCTTGGCATATTTTGGATTGCATTTGCTTTGTTTCGGTTTAGTAGTTTTGGTTATAGACTCTGGTTAGGTTGGGTGGTTATGATCAGCATTTTGACCGAAGAAACATCATCCTCGAAAGCCGAAGTAACTCACTTCAGTGTATCAGTGAGATACATCGAGCTAATGACGCGCTGCAGTACCCGTTGAAGTTTTGCTTGGGCGATGATGGCTATTCAATCAACATACCACAATCCGATCCCACAACTAAGTTGCCCTTGAGAATAACAGTATCTGTTGTGAGTTCTTATTTATACAGAATAATGATCAGAGAATGAAAATATAACTTTTTGGTTAAATATCGCGCTCTTTTTAGTCAATATTTGGTAGAAAATACACGAAAATAGAAACAGAAAGAATAAACTACATAAAAAACAATCAAGCCAAATTGCGCGCAGATAATTATATTCATTTAAAAGATGCAATTGGACGGCAAGATACTGAAGCAAATCAGCTGAGACAAATGGTAGGACTTTCATAATTTTTTACTGGTGGACCAAGATACATGCACGAAAAAACGCAATTCGCCGTGACCTATGTTGGACATTACGGTCGTCCTGACTTTTTTATTACTTTTTCATGTAACCCACGCTGGAGTGAGATGATCGATACGATATTATTTCTCGTGTCTTTCGATTAAAGGTAAAAAAAGTCATGGATTTGTTGATGGAAGGGAAAATATTTGGTGAAGTGAGATGCTATTTGTATGTATTATGGCTTCAACATCGCATCACTCCGGATCAATTGACAATATTATTTGTGCTGAAATACCTAACCCCTAAAAGTAATATGATACATGGCCCCTGTGGAAGTTTGAACCGAAATTCTCAATGCATGAAAGATAATTCGTACAGCAAACGTTATTCTAAGGCTCTTATTAAGGAAACTCAAATCGGTGATGATGGTTATCCACAATACAGGAGACGTTCTCTGAATGACAGTGGATTCTCCGTCAATATCAAGGGTGTTATAATAGATAATCGTTGGGTGGTTCCTTATATTCCAGTGCTATTAAGAACATGTAACGCTCACGTGAACATAGAGTATTGCCATTCAGTGAAGTCAATCAGATACGTTTACAAATATGTTAATAAAGGGTCAGACTAGGCTACGTTTACTTTAAAGAACAGGAAGGATGAAGTTACAACCTACGCAAGTGGTCGATATATAAGTTCAGCTGAAGCAGTTTGGCGAATCCTTGAATTCCCAATACATGAGCGTTTTCCTCCTGTAGTGCACATTGCTGTCCATTTAGAAAATGGACAGGAAATTAATTCTAATGAGCAGAACTTGTGCGACAAATGGAGTAGTCCTCCTACAACTACACTCCTCTCCTTTTTCGATCTGTGTAACGTGGATGACTTTGCAAAAACATTGCTATACTCGGAAGTCCCTGCGTATTACGTTTGGAACAAGCGATCTTTTCAGAGAAGGAAGAGGGGAGTGAATGTTGAAGGATGGTCAGGGGTAAAAAAAACACGTTCTAGGTAGGGTTTATACTATTCATCCAAACAATACAGAATGCTGTTACCACCGTCGAATACTTCTACATGAGATCAGAGGCCCAATTTCATTTGAAGCGTTGAAAACAGTGGATGGTCATTTACATCTCACTTTCCAATCCGCGTGCAAGGCTCTAGGTCTACTCGAAGATGATCGGCATTTGGATTCAGTTCTTGAGGGGGCAGCACTTTGTCAAACACCGCATATGATTCGAGAGCTTTTTTATTTTATTGATTGATTTTATTGTTCTACCAGCTTTCTGACCCCCCATGTCTTTGGGAAAAATACAAAGGATACCTTTCTAAAGACCTTGAAAAACAACTGAAAAGGCAAGGTGACGTGGTTGTAGAGCACTCATCGGACCTGATACTTAACAAATGCCTGTCGGTATTAGAGGATGCCGTATTATCATTAGGCGGCCGTCCTTTTAAAGAGTATGGATTACCTCAGCCAATAACATCAAAACATTTTGAAATTAGATAGTACGTGAAGTAAACCATTTACGATACAGTGGCCTTAGAAGACGCAGTAAAAAATAGCATCCTTGAATGACGAGCAACAGGAAGTTCAACATAAAATTATCACAAGTGTAGATGCAAATGACGGTCGAATATTCTTCTTATACGCTCCAGTTGGAACTGGTGAAAACTTCCTTATCAATTTACTTTTGGCGAAAGTAAGAAGTATTTACGGCATTGCCCTGGCTGTGGCGTCGTCCAGCATAGCTGCTACATTACTCGAAGCTGGTCGAACTGCTCATGCCACTTTCAAGTAACGACGAAATAACGATGGCACATAAAGGTGGTATTGAAGCCTCAAACAGATCACTAAGGGATATAAGAGGTAATACAAAATTATTGAGTGGCGTTACAGTTTTGCTAGCCGGAGACTTTCGGCAGACTCTACCAGTGGTGCCAAAAGGAACCAGAGTTGATGAAGTAAAGTCATGCATTAAAAAATGTAATGTGTGGCCCCAGTTTAATATTATTGAGCTCTCAAAATATATGAGAGCACATTTGGGCGGGGTTGAGTCTGCTGGTAGATTTTCATATCTCCTTCTCAAAATCGGTAATGGTGATTTTCCATCTTTTGATGGAATGATAACCATCCCGGAAGAATTGTGCACAGTTGTTACTACGGTTCAAGAATTGCTGTCTAAAGTTTATCCAGACATTATTCATATACATGACAAGCCTATTGAATGGGTATATGAGCATGCCATACTTACTCCAAAGAACGATCAAGCAGCAACTATCAACGATATCCTGCTCATGTGGTTTGAGGGCGAAGAAAAGGTCTATACTTCGATTGATACTGTGGTTAATACAGATGAAGCTACTAATTACCCTGTAGAATTTTTAAATTACTTAAAACCGTTAGGTTTGCCTTGTCATAAGCTTATTTTGCGTGTGGGTACTTCAATTATGTTGTTGCGAAATTTAAAACCACCAAAACTTTGTAACGGTACGAGACTGCAAGTGAAAGCGTTACATCGCAATATAGTGGAAGCCACTATATTAACTGAGTGTGTGAAAGGGGCAACTGTATTTATACCACGAATCCCATTAATACCTAATGATATCCCGTTCAAATTTGAACGATTACAGTTTCTACTAAAAGTCTGCTTTGCCATGACAATAAACAAGTCTCAGGGGCAAACTCTCAATTGACTTGAGAGAACATTGCTTCTCTCATGGACAGTTTCATGTTGCTTGCTCACGAGTAAGTTCACCTAATAGCTTAATAGTTTTAGAGCCTAATGAGAGATTAGTTGAGAATATTGTGTACAAATAAGTTTTGTAGGCCCTAATTTTTTACACACGATAAACAAAAGAAAGCCGCAAAAACTATACCTAATTAATAATAATACTCCTGAACGCAAGCGAATCCGCGGGCAAAAGCTAGTTTATTCAACAACTTCAATTCTTCAGGGAGATTGTTGAATATTTTGACGCCGAAATGATCAGGAGCACATGAATTATTGTTTAAACTGAACAATTGTACATTATGAACTAGAGTTCACTTGGTACTCTTAGTGAAAAATTTTAAACCTTTTATCACTTGTCAGTAGTCAGTCTGTCATATTTGAAAATTCCAACCTCAAACTCATAGGAAGGTGGGCAAACCGCAGACACTTGGTTGCAAGAAAGGGGTCGAACAAGCAAGCGGATTCATCACCAGGGCCCACCTTCCTATGAGTGCTTTGTCCAATAACCTTTTTTCCATCGATAATACCATCTCACTCAATATCCCTCTTCTTTTTTGATTTATCTTGGACCCGGATGTCACGCAGGTTGCTATAGCTTCACCCGTGATGGAGTTGGGAGTTAGTCCTTGTAATCACAAGGTCTTCCAATGATGACACGAAATCGCAGTTAGCCCCTGATGATGAATCCGCTTGCTTGTTCGACCCCTTTCTTGCAACCAAGTGTTGTCTATCCTTTACACTTGGCTGTACCGTACTGACGAAGGCTAAATAGCCAGAAACACGTGTCTGCGGTTTACCCACCTTCCTATGAGTGCTTTGTCCAATAACCTTTTTTCCATTACTTTCCAAATACCGCATTCGAAACATTTGCTCTTTATTGAAGCCCCGGACAACTGTTTGTCCATAACCACAGCCATATGAACGCCAAGAGTAACGTGGGTAGTATATGTATGCGGGTGTAAGAACCTGAGTGCATTTTTGTTCTACTCGACTTCGAGTGACTTTGCATTTGAGATTCATCATAGAGAAAAGTAGGTACGTAGCTGTTGGGTTATATTCTCACAGCAGTAGCTACATCAAAAATATAACTAGCGCTGTTACATGTTGAATCACAAATACATTGTAGTCTAGTTCACATGTACTTTTTTTTGTAACATTTTTCAGCCCTGTCCAAAAATTACGATTTTTGCCTAGAAAGTTTAAAGAAAGTTTCGAAAACGCGCTGATAAAAATTACAAAAGTTATAAACAATTAAGTGAAAAAAAATGGGGCTTTAGTTTTTTCTTAATATCTCGGAAAATTTTCAAAATTTTGGAAATTTGAAAAAAGATTAGAAAAGATCAATGAATTTGCGTAAAAAAAGTCCCGACTCCCGAAACTTTATCTCGATTATTTATAATTTTTACAGAGCNATGTAGGTACTCACTCTGTCTCAAGAAGTAGGTTTTCTTTTAAAATTTCCAAAATTTTGAAAATTTTCCGAGATATTAAGAAAAAACTAAAGCCCCATTTTTTTTTCACTTAATTGTTTATAACTTTTGTAATTTTTATCGGCGCGTTTTCGGACCTATCCTTTAACTTTCTAGGCAAAAATACGAATCGAATGACAACTTGGTCGTAATTTTTGGACAGGACTGAAAAATGTCACCAAAAAGAGCTAAATCGAGTACATGTGAACCAGACTATTGTATTTGTGCTCTGTGTGACCAGTTGCCTTGCAGTGAACAAATGAGGATGAATCTCGTCGGTAGTTTATGTCAAAGCATGGCTCTGTAGCTGATCGCCTTGGGGAGCTTCATTTTGATATTCCAGGATTGAGTTCTTTGTCGGTTCATTCAACAGAATTTCCACGTGTGTAGTTGCAACAAATAATCCAAAATTATATGGAAACAAAACAGTTTCTGAAACCCATTTCACTAGTTTAGATTCTGAAATGTTCGATGTCGATTTTTATTTTATGAAAAAGGTCGCAATTTCGAATTACTGAATAGAATTCGTTGGCAGTTCAGATCAGTGACCTGAGAATGTTCGTAAACGCCGACTTGACGAAATCAGATAATCAAATAGTGTTTTCCGGCAACTGAATTTTCAATATTTCTAGTACGAATAAGTGTAGCTGGTTATTCCTGTCCAAAAGTTTAGTTTTTCTGGATACTGAGTGTGTATCTTTTCTGAATCGATGCGGATTTGCATTACTTCAGTGTCGATGACTTTCTCTATTCAGATCTCCATTCAACATAAATTTACTTTTAACACTGCAACATATACTTTTAAGAAGTCTAGGTGAATTGTCTGATGCTCACAAAACTGAATTCTCAGGTCTGGCTCATGAAATGCCTGGAAAATGCCAGGCATTCACGAAAACCTACGTTGTGGATATGTTAGGAGAAATGAATATGTATGTATCTTCGATACAGAATTCAAAATCTGTCTCTTGCGCCTATAGTATTATACGCAACGTAACTCCCTCTATTTCTGTCTTCACCTACTTATACCTCCTTCTCAAATTCCGTTCGCCTCGCCCAATCACAATTTTTGTAACGCTGTCGTCACGCATTCACCAGCTTACTCCCAAGTCAAAGGCGCCTACAGAAGTTTTACTTCAAAAAAGTATTCTCGATATATCAGTCTTTGTCAGAATCCATAATGAGATATCGTATAATAGCATAAGGTGGTACTTTGAACAATCACATCAATAGCTCACAAATCACACAGAAATCAATATTGAAAAAAATATAAAGGCATTGGCGTTTTTCAACTGATCATCTACCTATATGAAGAGAATAATTTACTTTTCATAAACTACACCTCACGATTTGATCTCCACAAATTTTATTTGAAAAATATATCACGAAATGTTTCGCTAACAAAGTAACTTCTTCAATAGTGATTTAAAAACCATGAATTGCTTCTTACGCTAATATTTATATACCACAAGTAACTATAATTGAGACTACCTCCGTCAAATTACATAAACCTCTACAATTCTTATATATCAGAGGTACCTCTTCAATTATGATTACCTGAAGCATATTACCTCACTTCTTCATCAATAATAATACTTCCTCGGTTTTTTCAAAAAACGAGTTACATAGTGGTGATCTATTCAAATCCAAGTGGTCATTCATTGTAATGTTTGAATTTTTAAGTTCATTAATTTCCATTGCTACCAAATAATTCAGTTCCAAACCTTTATTTCCTATGTATAAAACTTCGAATCCTCCGTTAAAGATATTATTTTTTTCTGAAAGATGATTTGAATATGTTGAATTTGTTTTTTCATTTACATAGCTCATATGATGTTCCTAGATTCGATTCCAGAAAGTTTTGCCAGTTTGACCAATATATACCTTAGGACATGTTCCATACTTCAATTTATATACCCCTGATTTCTCGAATTTGAATGTTTTTCCTTATTATTTTTAACTAACTTTCCCAATGTATTACTTGTTCTATATGCTATTTTAATATCTAATTTCCTCAAAAAATGAAGCTACTTTATCCGTTAGAGCTCTATAATTTACTTAATGTTAGATTATTATATAGTTACCAGTGTCTAGTATGGATTTTCTCACTTCAACAACTATGTAACCCATACAACAGTAAGAACTAAAGCAGTCAAGAATTCAAATAATGAAATGATTTTACAAAAAAAAAACACACACAAATATTTGTGTTCTATTACGGTCCAGAACTCTACAACCTACTTCCAGTATAATTGAAAACAATGAATAAAATTGATAAATTCATAATAGAAAATGAAAACAATCAACATATACTAATTTTCCCACATTGAATGACAATTCCAATACCATCTGTATCTTTCCTTTCACTCAACTCATATCTACTAGATTTTGTATTCTCTATGAGTTTTGAATTTCATTTTTGCTAATTATATTACTATAGTTTTTTATCTTAAGTTTGTCATTTTGTTACCATAAAAACTGCATGCAAACTATTATCTGAATGAGTAAATCAATACAATACAGGCATTCCACTGCCTAGGTGAAATTCGTCACTCATTCAAGATTACTGAAATATATTAACTCAAATGTATATACATACAGAGAATTAGCCAATGACACGAAATTGAAAGTAGATATGAAACAAATTTGTGGCCAATAATATCTTCAAGGTCGGTGCCAAGCTGAAAAAAATAGACTCCTCATTTGTTACGATCAACTTACTTTCAATTTGGTTTTGTAAAATAAAATACTATTTTATAGTTTCGCGTTAGTTTCTTTTTGAAGTAGAATTGAATTCTTCAAATTACTTTTCATTCTTCAAAAGATTAGAGATCTTTACGGAGATTGCGATAATGTAACCCAATAAAATTATAAATCATTACATTTGATGTTGAACTCAATAGTTGCTCAGCAAAATTTCTGAAGTTATGAATGTGCTCGCAATTTAATAGATTAAATTTGGTGCATTCAGAGTATAACCCTTGAATAATCCTCGCTTTTTGAATATACTGAAAGCTCTATTGAATTGACTTCATATCGTTTTGGGTGAAAACTAATGGTTTGGTGATTTACGACGGCAGTCGTTTAAATGTATTGGATTATAATCACTTGAGAGTTACCTATTCACTCACTTAGTCAGACTCTT